GGACCAAGACCACGAAGGAACCAGTGTACTTTGTCATCATTAGCAATAGGAGCACCAATAGCAGCTAACTGATCACAAATAGTGCGAAATTTCTTTCCATATTCTGTCACAGAGATGGAACCACGACGCATGAGTTGAAGCTCGTCACGGAGGCGCAGTTCACGAGCCTTGCTGCGTGAAGCATAGGCAGTATGCAGAGCATTCCAAATATCCCGAGCAGTGTCAGCACTAAGTGTCTCAGAGAGGGCCTCCTCGGTCAAGGAAGAAAGTAGGAGACTGGTGACATTTCGATCTTGAGCTTGCCATTGAGCGAATCGAGGATTTGGAATAGAATCAAGGATTTGCGACGGTGGTTCAATAGAACCATCAACAATGTGAAACAAATTCTGATTTTGAAGAAGAAAAGTAACTTGTTTACGCCAGAGAATAAAATTCTCAGAGTTAAGCCGAATGGTAATCATGTGAACCAAGGTAGCAAACGGCAGAGACGGAGGAGTGGTATCGTCAGCCATGAGAGATGATCGCAAACAGAATTGGACGATCGCACGGTTGGGGGAGAATGCACGACCGTGGTGGCAGATGACGACACAAGGGTTTAGAGGCTAGGGTTTGGAACCGTAACCTGATACCATGTAAGATGTGATAAATCTCACCACAATTTGTGTGAGGCAATCAATATGATTTAAAGAAAAAGATTACAATGTAAAACAGGAAATTACATCATAATAATGAGAGAATAAATCATAATAATGAGAGAATAAATGGTAGGATATTAGTCCTGATAACTAGCTCTTAACAATAATACCCCTCACATGCTTTTTTTTCTTTATTTATTCCTTAAATATTCTTTTTCAAATGGGATTTAAAAATTGTTGAAATTAAGAGTGCAAAAAAATAGTGTTTAAAAAATAATATTGATGAGCCAATGAGTATCTTGTTTGTTAAAGAGAAAAAATAAAAAGTAAAAAAAGAAGGGAGACATATTAAAAATGATTAAAGAGGGATAGAGTAGTGAAAAAAAAAGTGAAAGAAGAGCATGTGAACGAAGAAAATAGTTTTTAGAAATAATATTTATTTAAAAAAACAAATTAAAAACATATGATATTGTTGACAAAAAGAATGAGAAGAGAACTATCTATTAGAGAGGGAAGGTGTATATGACACTCACCTTAATGTTTGTTGTCTTAGATTTGTGTTTTATATCCTCCCAACATGATCAAGTTATTGAATACGTTCTTTTAAAAATATGTTTATTGATTAATTGCTCTTACAACAATGTGTATCCTTAGCCTGTTTTGAATCAAGAAAGATGAATCGTGGGACATGCATGAATAAAATTTATTAACTTCATAGTTAAAAGGGCAAGCCAAGGACATAATTGAATATGTCCTCATTTGAGATATTAGGGTTAGACCTTGCTAGGTCCAATTTCGAGGTATCAAAAATTGTAGGGCTTTAGAGAAGTAATTTACATTTGCTATCTACAACTATGAATCAATGACCCCATTTTGCGTCGTTTTAAGATCGGTAAGTTTTTATTATTTGTTTGGATAAAAGTTCACTTTAACCTGTTACTTTTGCATTTTATACATTAAAAATAAAGGTTAAGTCATTTTATTATTAATATTTTTTTAATTAATTAAAAAATCTCCCTATAAGATAAAAAATACACGAGTTTTGTATTAAAATGGTGTAATTTTTATTAAAAAATTTCTGAAATAGATAAGTTAACTTTTTTTTTTTTTGAAATAAGGTAAGTCGTGTTTGGGAATAGAATTTTCACAAAGTGGACTTAAAATTTTTCTTTTTCCTACTTTTTTAATGTCGTTTTTTTTTTAGTATTTTATATTTTTTTCATTTGGAAGTCGTGAATCGATACACGATTCATGTGTTTACTTTTTTTTTTCTCTCTCTTTTAATATTAAAAATAATATATTTTTATATAAAACTAATATTTTAGTTGTGAAATATACATATATATTATATGTAACTAAAATTTAATAAATTTTATATACAAATAAATATTATGTTTAAATATATGAATTATATTTAAAATTTGTATAAATAGATAATTTTAAATATACATAAATTATATTCTAAATTTACGATAAATAATTTATATTATAACATAATATTATTATTTATTGATAATTTATCTTAAAAATATTAAAAATTTTCATAGATAATTATGATAAGTAAAAGTTGAATTAGATTAAAAAATTTAAAAAATTTCTAAAAACTCTTTCGTTAAAGAAAAATTTCTAATGTAATATTCTTATACAAGATAAAAATTTGTGTTTAATATATAAAAATTAATTTAAAAAAAAATATATGCTTTCAAAGCCCGACCTTAATTTTTTAAAAAATAAAATAAAAAAGTAAATATGGTGTTTGTGAAACACGACTTTTAAATGAAACACCACTTAACCTGTTTTGGAAATTTTTTTGTAAAACTAACCCATTTTCTTTTCTAAAAAATTACACTATTTCGATAAATAAATAAAAAAAGCCAAAATACACTATATAATAGGATATTAATTGCAGTCATATTATGCCAGCATACTAATTAAAACTATATATATGATAGTTTATTTTACTTTTATCTTAGCCAGCAAATAGGCCCAACATGTTTAATTTTTAATTTTAATTTTCAAATACAATTTTTTTTTATGTGATACTATACTTGATTCAACCTGGAATTTTAGATTTTATACAAATTGCCCAACCTCGAATATGATCATTACATTACATGTGGCGTTTTTGCTACTTGCGTACAGTCTTTTCCACGGAATAATTTTGTGGCTGATTATATACACCTCCATTTTTTTATACATACATCCCCTTTTTAAAAAATAATTGAATTCTTAAATTATCCTTAATATTATTTGAAATAAAAAAAAATTATCCTGGAAATTTTTTTTTGGAGGTGTATTTATATATAATTATGGAAAGTTCTTTCCGGAATACTAAAATTACTATTCCGGAAATAACTTTCCGTCGGAATAATTCTAAAAAGTACTTTCCGTAACACTAAAATTACTAATGCGGAAAGTTCTTTATGGAATTATGATAACAAATACACACATTGTTAATATTCCGGAAAGAATTTTTCGCAATAGTAATTCTAGTGTTACGGAAAGTATTTTTCATAATTATTTTGACGGAAAGTTATTTCTGGAATAGTAATTTTAGTATTTTGGAAAGTATTTTCCGTAATTATTCTGACGGAAAGTTCTTTTCGGAAGACTCATGATATATACACCTCCTGTTTTTTTTTATAAGTACACATTCTTTATTTTTTTTAAAAAATTATAAAATATTATATATATTTTTTTTTAATTTTATACCTTTAACTTTCAATTTTTTACTTTTTTCTTTTTTTTCACACACTTTTTTTTTCTTTCAATTTTTACATGTTACCAAAATAGGTGAGGTGAAGGAAAGATAACAGGGTGCATGTTAAAATTGAAGAAAGAAAAAAAGAAGAAAAAAGAAAGATCTGTAAAAAAAAAAAGTACTAAATTAAATATTGTGAATGTAAAATTAAAAAAAAAAGTAAAAAATTAAAAATATTTTAAAATTTTAATTATTTTTTTTGAAAAGGAGGTGTACTTATAAGAAAAAGGAGGTGTATATATTATCAACCTAATTTTGTTTTAACATGAATGCGGTTGGATCCATTTTCAGACTTCGAAGGTTAAACAAAAAATAGGCCCAAAATAATTTCAACCAAGGCCTTTTAAGTTTTAACAACTTGTAAAGCCCAAAATGAAATCCAACCCATCTCATCCCAATTATAACACGCAGAAAACTTTCGAGTTATAACTTACTTAGATTATTTTATAAATTATAATAATAGTATGTACATGTTAGATATTTATAATGTATAATTTAAATTTAAAATAAGTTATATACATAAATAAATATTATTTTGACATATTAGTATATTGTAATATAAAATTATTTTTATATATTAATAATTTATTTTTTAAAAATATTAAAATTTAGTTTATAAATAATCATGATAAATAAAAATAAATAATTTGAAATTAAATTAATCTCTAAAAATTTCGTAGTCAAAGAAAAATTTTAAAAAATATTTTTATACAAAATAGTCATTCGTATTTTATATATATATGAATTGATTTGTTTGATATATGATTTTATTTCCTATTTTCATTTTCTATTTAAAATAACATTTGAAGTTATAATTTATTATTTTTTTTATCCTAACCACTTTAGTAAAATATTTGTTTTACTCCATTTTATTAACAAATACTTTTACTTGTACATTTCGTAGGATAAACATTTATTTTATATATTTAAAATAATAAATATATTTTGAATATATAAATTACAAAAATAAAATAAAATGTGACGTAAGAGTATCTTTTAATTATTATTTTTCATGAAAAATATTATTTAATTTTTATTTAGTGAAGTTAATATTGATAAATAAAAAAGTAAAGTAATTTTGGGGGGAAAATCTTATACATTTGAGCATTATGTTTTTTCAGAAGTAACTTTCTTCTATCCAAATTACTTCTTCTATTCTTGCTTAAAATGAGAATAATTTGATAATTACAATATTTAGACAATTAAGCGTATGTGTATTGCGTAGTTTTAATAAATTTACAATAAATAGACGATTTATCTTTTACATTTGAGAATTGAGATGTTGTAATTTGTCACATAATTTGTTATATTTTTATTTTTATTTTAACTTTAAAATTTAAATTTATTTTGACATATTAGTATTATTGTTTCAATTATTTTTTACTTAAATCTTTGTATTTATATATGTTTAAAAAAAAAAAAAAGTAATGGTGAGGAACTAGTTTCCTACTCAGAATAAAAGTCGCTTAGGCAGGTTGTATTTATCCTTCTCAATTTTCAATTTTAAATAACATCGTAAATAACATTTCAAACGGTGGTTTGAATATCAATAGTGGTAATAAAATTCGGCATTTATTTCGCTACCTACATCAAATTTGTCGATTTTAACAAATCAAGTATTCAATGTACCTTTCTGGCTCTCTAAATTGACTATTTTTCACTAATTACGAAAGAACTTTTGTTTTCAATTCACAACATCTATCTCTCTAACCATTCTAAGTATGATTGGAGAGCCAAAAGTTATGCAGTGACAATATACTTCAATTCACAACATTTATTAATTATGCACTCTTTTATCGCAAAAACTAATTATGATATTTGCGTTGATTGTAATGATTTTAAGTTTTAACCATCAAATATCACTAAAATAACAACTTAACAAAAATAAAAATAAAAATTTTACCTATTCATTTCCTTTTAAGGAAAGGACAAACATAAAAGCACACGGGATATTGGATTCACTGGGGACGAGAGCATAAAGTTGCATTAATAAACAAATAATTCCCAACAAAATATAATATGGTTAACAAATAATCATGTATGTTAATAATGTAGTTATATATTGGATTAGTAAGTTGTTATATGTGGAGAAATGTTTATACGAAGAAACTAACTC